ATCACTGGTCTATAGCAATAATCAACAGTGAGCTGAAACCCAGGAGAGGCCCTAGTAAACTGACAGGTCCTCTCCTACCCCACATTCCAGCCTCCCTGAGGTTTGTCTGCTTATTTACCTAACGCAGAAAACAGGTTGTACCTCCTCAGCACATCCGTTTGCAGGACGGATGCAAAACTGTCCGGTGGTGTGGGGTATACCCTTAAAAGTGCTGGATTTTAAACAGTGCTAAGGAGAACAAGTTCATCTCCACACCAAGAACAGGGCTTTTTCCTCTTGTTGAGAGTTTCCTGGCATCCTAGCAAGGTCTGAAAAACTCACCAGGCGTGTCTCTTAGGGTAGGTAGACCAGCTGATCAACAGCTGTGAGTTCATTCTCAATTCTTTTTTTTTTTTTTTTAAATATATTTTATTGATTTTTTACAGAGAGGAAGGGAGAGGGAATAGAGTTAGAAACATCGATGAGAGAGATCAGCTGCCTCTTGCACACCTCCTACTGGGGATGTGCCCGCAACCAAGGTACATGCCCTTGACTGGAATCGAACCTGGGACCCGTGAGTCCGCAGGCCGACGCTCCATCCACTGAGCCAAACCGGTTAGGCTCATTCTCAATTCTTTTTGTAACTTTTGAATAAGTTAATATTTGTTATAAAGTGTTTTCACAGTTATTGTCTTATGTGATCCTCTCAGTATTTGAACGATGGGTAGGTATTCATTCTATTTTACAGGTGAAAAATTGAGAGAGCTGGAGAGGTTTGGAAGCTCTGAAGAGATGCAACTTTCTGTCCCTGGCTTGCTCCCTTCTGTTCCTTTCACAGTAGCCCCAGCATTTTTTGTTCCCCAGATCGTATATAGGGGTATAAGTACGATGTTAGAATTTACTCTTTCTATGTAGACAGATACTCAGAACAGAACTTTAGTGATAGGCAAACACCTATTTGTTTATATCTGCTGAGATCTGATGAGAGTATGTAGCACCATTAAGCATTGACTTAGCTTGGTTATGGTATTGTTAAATAGAAACAGGTATTCTCACTTAAAAGTGAAAAGTCTCTAGGCTATCTAATGAGAGAAGTAACAGGGAGAGTCTGGGATTCTTTTTTTAAAAAAATATATTTTATTGATTTTTTACAGAGAGGAAGGGAGAGGGACAGAGAGTCAGAAACATCGATGAGAGAGAAACATCAATCAGCTGCCTCCCACACACCCCCCACTGGGGATGTGCCCGCAACCACAGTACATGCCCTTGACCAGAATCGAACCCGGGACCCTTCAGTCTGCAGGCCGATGCTCTATTCACTGAGCCAAACCAGTTAGGGCTGGGATTCTTTTTAAAAAAATATTTTTATTGATTTCAGAGAAGAAGGGAGAGGGAGAGAGAGATCAAAACATCAATGATGAGAGAGAATCATTGATCAGCTGCTTTCTGCACACCCCACATTGGGGTTCGAGCCTGCAACCTGGGCATGTGTCTTGACTGGGAATTGAACTGTGACCTCCTGGTTCATAAGTCGACGCTCAACCACTGAGCCACTGGGCTGGACAGTCTGGGATTCTTGTATTCCGTGTTTTACCACCAAAAATATTTATGGGTCACATATGACACATGGTTTCTGTGGGAGGTAATACATCATTTTTGAACTGCTACCCTCCTGAATATCACAATATAAGTGGGTAGGGTGAGATCATAGACGAAGATGTATACAGTTGAGAGGTTATTTGTTCTGCCTGAAGAGTGGAGAGAATAAACACACACACAACCACAACCACACAACCCATGGCTGTGGGAAGGAAGCTGTACTAGTTATCAGAGGCTGGCCTTCAGATGGAAAGGAGCCAGAGTCTGATGGATTGCTTGCCCTCGCAGGCGTGGTGAGGAGCAGCCTGCTGGGTCAGGGTTAGTGGATGTGGAACTGGACCTGTATGGAGCATTCAGAGAGGTACTGGGGAACCAATGTGCAGCTCTGATTGTGGAAAGCATCTGAGGGCAGGGACTGCAGGGGAGATCCTCAGCCTTCCAGGAGCAACAAAGAAAACACAGCATAGATAGGTAAATGCAGTAGCTAGCCCAGCTGGGCCCTGAGGTGTGAGAAGGGCCTGGGCCAGCTCAGAGGCTTGAGAAATATAAATAAGTCATTAGAAAATCCATACCACAGGAGGGGAGTTGGGAAGGAGAGGGAGAAAGAAGGGAGTCAGTCAGATCTGAAGAAAGGTAAAACCAGCTTTCATACCAGCTAATTTAGAGACATAGTACCCAATTAACATTTTTGTTATTTTACTTGGTATTTTAGAATTTAATCAATATTTTCTTATTCACACACCGCCTCCTTTCATTTAGCAAGCTTTCTCAGTAAGCATTACTTTTGTGCAAGTGCACCAATTGTAATTCAGGTTGGTGACTCCCCAGGGTGCTGGGTTCTAAGTGGTTTGGAACATGGTATTGGACTCTGAGAAATAGTCTGAGGGAGTCTTGATGATTGGGCCCTTAGGAAGCTTCTGATTTAACCTTAGACCTTATGTATCTTATAACTGTACTCTTTTACTAACCTATTGCCCCACCCGAGCCCCTGACAACCACTGGTCTACTGTCTGTTTCTATGACTTCAGCCCTCCTCTTTTTTTAAAGATTCCCCATATAAGTGGTAACATGCATATTTTTTGTCTGCTTATTTTACTTTTTTTTTTTTAATCCTCACCCGAGGATATTTTTCCATTGATTTTTTTTTTTAGAGAAAGTGAAAGAAAAAGGGAGAGACAGAGAGCATCAATGTGAGAAACACATCAATTGGTTGCCTCCTGCACAAGCCTTGACCAGGGCCGGGGACAGGGAGGAGCCTGCAACTGGGGTACGTGCCCTTGACCGGAATCGAACCCAGGACCCTTCAGTCGACAGGCTGATGCTCTATCCACTGAACCAAATCGACTAGGGCTTATTTCACTTTTTGATATTTATTTTCTAAGCATTCTTGGAGAACATCAGTAAGCCACAATCAAAATAGAAGTACAAACAATCCTATTTAATATTTACTGAGTGCTATGCTAAAACTTTACCTTCCATGTTCTCATTTAATTCCTGTCATTAATCCCATTGTATAAATGCTAAATCTAAAGGAAAGGAAAGGTTCAGAAAGATCATGCTGAGTAAACCACTGTAACATCCCAAAAGGTAACAAAGATGTAACTATATGCCTAGAGAAAACTCAGAAAGGATGTGTACCAACAATGGTTATCTCTGTGGGATAAGACAGACGTTGGTTTTTATTTTCTTATTCTTTTTTGTTGTTGTTGTTAATCCTCACCTGAGGATATTTTCTCCATTCTTAGAGTGAAGCGGGGGTGGGGGGAGGAGGAAGGAAGGGTAGAGAGAAAGAGAGAAACATTAATGTGAGAGACACGCCGATCGACTGCCTCCCGCACACACCCGCCCAGGGCTGGGGATTGAACATGCACCCAGGTATGTGCCCTTGACCGGGAATGGAAAACTGAGACCCTTCCATGTGTGGGCCGACGCTACAACCACTGAGCAACACCAGCCAGGGCTATTTTCTTCTTTATAACCTTTGAAAAGGACCATTTCTTACTCTTCTCCCCCCCCCCCCCCCCGACACCCGTTTCTGGGTAGAGTAGATAGAAAATGCTCAGTAAATAGAAAAATGAAGGTCTGTTCTTTCCTTGGCTTGATTTGGCCCCAGTGTTGGTAGCTCTGTGCATCTTTGCTGCTGTTCATCTGGCAAGTCCCCAGAGGGGGCTGCCCCTTTGCACTGGAAGAGCGGAGGCCTCCAGGGTGGAGGATGAGCTTGTATGGTGTAGGGCCGTGTTTCCCTGGCTGACGGAGGCCCACTCCTGGCAGCAGATACTGACTAGCCAACTCATGTTATTTCCTTTAGCCCAGCAGAGTTTGGAGTAGACTGGGGACAATCAGCTTGCTTGGTGACTCAGTGTAGCTGATGTAGGTTGTTGGGTATCTTTTGAGCTTGACTACTTTAAAGTGAAGCTGCTCCAAACTGCCAGGCTTAACAGTCTAGTGCCCTGCTCCACTGCCCTCTGCATGAGGCCACCACGCCTTTAACAGGTAGGATGGCCTGGCTACAAATGTGCTTGCTGCCAACTCAGAGCTGTTGCACTTTTTTTTCCTTTAAGCTTTATCTATGATTATTTATTTTATGTTTTAGGTAACTTAATTTTTATACAATTTTAAACATACAGTAAAGTTCTAAGAACAGTACAAAGAATTCTTGTGTACCTTTTAACCAGTCACCGTAAGCATTTTGCCTTGCTTCACTGCATGTCTCCCTCCCTCCCTCTCTCCTGTATGTATATGTATGTACACACACACACACACACACACACACACACACACACACCTTTTCTGAACCATTGGACAGTAAGTTGCAGATGGCCTGTTTCTTTACTTTTGAATACCTCAGTATGTACTTCCTAAAACAAGGACATTCTCTTACATAATCACAGTACAAAATAAAAAAAAACAAGTTCAACACCAATATAGTGCTACTAGGAGCCCAGCGTGCAATTAAAATCGTGCAGTGTCACCCACCCTCTGGTCTGGCCCTGCCTCCCTCTCCAGCCCTTGAAGCAGCTGCGGCCACTGCTGATCTGGCCCTCCCCCAGTGCAGGCACAGGGGGGCCCTGCCACCCCGCCCCCGACGCTGCACGCACAACCTCCTGTCCAATTGACCCCTGGTGTCCCAGTTAATTAGCATATTTCTATATATATATAGACACACATCAATTGGTTGCCCCCCCCACATGCACCCTGACTGGGGCTGCATATATATATTACCTAATCCACCGTCCATAATAAAATTCTGCCCATATTCACATATAATCCCAGTGACGGCAGAGCTTTATTTAGAAGGAAAACACCCTTGAGAAGTGTGGGTGACTCCTTGGTGAGGTGGCTCTGAGGAGAGAGAGCTAGCAGGTTATTTGGGGAAATGACTGCTGTGGGCTCCACATCACCTGTTCCTTGTATCTCCACAGGGCCCAAGGAGTAAGGGCAGCAAGAACCACACTCGCAACCATGTTAATGGAACTGGAGACCTCCGAGGGGGTAGAAGAGTCAGAGAAACAGAGGTCCGCCCCTGAACGGGAAACCCCCAGCAGGTGAGGATGGGGCCACCAGCGGACCCAGGGCCTGCATGCCTAGTACACGTGGCTGCCTGTGCTGCAGGCACCAGGTACAGTCGGGAGCCCTGCTGCTGTGGCCCTCAAATGCCTGGCCGAGACGGCAGACAGCACCCTGGGCTGCTCAGCACTCTCCCTGTGTGTCCCAGAGGAGACAGGACAGGCACTGCTAAGGGTGCTGAGTAACAGAATTTGATGGTGATCCTGGTCCTTTTTCTTCTAAAACCCTAAGCATTTTGTCGTCTGGGGAGAGAAAGAGTAATTAGAGGCAAAGCTGGCATCTTTTCCAGTATCTTCCACAGACTCTTAGAATGTGGGAACAACTCCAACTCCAGGGGTTTTTCTTACAGGGTAGGACCAGTTCCTCTAAGCCTCAAGTTACTGGGGCCTGTTCTCCATTATTATCCTCTCATCATTGGCAAAGTTCTCTCTCTTTTTTTTTTGGTTAATCCTCACCCGCGGATATTTTTTCCATTGATTTTTAGAGAGAGTGGAAGAAAGAGGGTGGGGAGGGAGAGAGAGAGAAACATCAATGTGAGGGAGACACACATCAATTGGTTGCCCCCCCCACATGCACCCTGACTGGGGCTGGGGATCAAACCTGCAACCCAAGTACATGGTCTTGACCAGGTCTTGTGTGTCTTGACCAGGAATCGAACCTGAGATCCTTCAGTGCGCAGGCTGACACTCTAACTGCTGAGCACACTGGCCAGGACGCAAAGTTGTTTTTTTTTTTTTTAATATATTTTATTGATTTTTTACAGAGAGAGAGGGAGAGAGATACAGAGTCAGAAACATCGATCAGCTGCCTCCTGCACATCCCCCACTGGGGATGCGCCCGCAACCCAGGTATATGCCCTTGACCGGAATCGAACCTGGGACCTTTCAGTCCGCAGGCTGACGCTCTAACTGCTGAGCACACTGGCCAGGACGCAAAGTTGTTTTTATAACTTGAAATAATTGCTAATATTAAATTACTGTCAGAATGTGGGTGATACTTGCTACTCTGCTAAAGAAGCCAGCAGAGGCTGGGCCATGAGAGGCCAAGTTTTTCTCACTCTAGTAGACAGATTGTGTGTACACACAAGCCCCTGCCCAGTGCCACCATCTTTAGGGTCGTGCATTCTCTGCCTTGTCTGGAATTGGCATCAAGTGGCACAGTTTCATCCTGTGTAATTTTGTTAGGCAGCACACACAGGTCCTGCTTGGCTCCAACTTTCCCAGCATTTGTCTCATTCTCAGCGAGAATCCTGAAGAGGCTATGGGTCTAGAAGATCCACAGTCAGTCCTTCATAATTGTATGTATTCTGGGAGACATTCCCCAGGGCTGGCTATTCCCTGGAGAAGTCAGCAAATGCTGGGAACACAGGTGTGTTTCTTTGGGTACTAGGTGGCCACAGAAGCAAAGCATCGTTCATTTGGGTAGTTCCGAGACAGGGACACTGCTGAGAGGCAGGCCACAGTCGTCCCTCGTGTTACGCAAGTCCTTGATAGCAGACATATCTGTTTGCCCTGTGCTTCCTGGCAAGACCCTGTATCTATGCTGGAGTTGAGTTTCTGAGCAGCCCCTGCCTATCAGCGTAGCAAGCGACATGCTGGAGCTGAGAAGGGCTAATTCACACACACATACATGCACATGTATACACACACATACACACACACACACGCACCTGGTCTCTCTCTAGCAGTGATTTTCAACTTGTGTGCTGCAAGAATTTTTAAAATGTGCAATACCTGACTAGTTAGTCAGGGGCACTTCTCAATCTAAGGCTTAGATTGTCAAATAAAGACATGACAACAGCCAACACAATAGCCATCCAGTGACTGCCTTGTTTTGAACCATAAATATATAGGTCATATATAGAGAGAGAGTTGCATTTTATTGGTCACATCACAAATTAAGGATTGGTTAATTTTTGGTACCAGAAATCCTTATATACAAGTACTAGAGGCCCGGTATACAAAATTCATGTACTCGGTGTCAGGTGTCCCTCAGCCTGGCCTGCGCCCTCTTGTAGTCCGGGAGCCCTTGGGGGATGTCCGATTGACAGCTTAGTGCTGCTGAGGAGGCGGGAGAAGCTCCTGCCACCACTGCTGCGCTCCCCAGCCGTGAGCCTCCTCCTAGCTGAGTGGCGCTCCCCTGTGGGAGCGCACTGACCACCAGGGGGCAGCTCCTGTGTTGAGTGTCTGCCCCCTGTGGTCAGTGCACGTCATAGCGACCTGTCATTCTGCAGTTTGGTTGCTTTGCATATTAGCCTTTTATTATATAGTAAGGATAGGCACCTGATTTTTTAAAGTCACTTTGGAGCAAAAAGAGTATACATATTTTTTTGTGTCAGATTGACAATAAATATATTTTGTTGTGCCACAGAATTTTAGTAATTAGTTTATGTGTGCCATGAAATGCAAAAGTTTGAAAATGCCTGCTCTACAGGATGGCTGACCTCTCTGAGCTCCTGAAGGAAGGGACCAAAGAAGCACATGACCGGGCAGAAAACACCCAGTTTGTCAAGGACTTCTTGAAAGGCAACATCAAGAAAGAGCTGTTTAAGGTTTGTGGCTCGGTCATGGATGGGTTCGGGTTAGGGAGCCATAGTCCCAGGAGAAAGGTCCCCCTGGAGTTGCTCCAAGGGAGAAGCAAGGCCTTTGTTACACTCTACTCTTTTCTGATGCCAGACTATGGTTTCCATGGCTTAAGTGGAATAACCTAGTGATGTAAAGAAAGCAGAAGTATCCATGTCCAAAGAATTCACCATGTCATTCCTTATAGAAATGAGTGTGTGAAATAATTCGTTGTATAAAAATGGGCTTTTGGGGACAGGAAGGGGGTTGCTGTTCAAGCCTTTGCCTTCAGTTGCTCAGACACGGTGGGCGGTGGGCTCTGGAGCTGCTACCCAAGGCCCACAGTCCTTTCCATTGGTCTCTCCCCATCCCCCTCAACAGCTGGCCACTACTGCACTTTACTTCACATACTCAGCCCTCGAGGAGGAAATGGACCGCAACCAGCACCATCCAGCCTTCGCCCCCTTGTACTTCCCCACGGAGCTGCACCGGAAGGAGGCACTGATTAAGGACATGGAGTATTTCTTTGGTGAGGACTGGGAGAAGCAGGTGCAGTGCTCTGAGGCCACCCAAAAGTATGTGGAGCGGATCCACTATGTGGGGCAGAATGAGCCGGAGCTGCTGGTGGCCCATGCCTATACCCGCTACATGGGGGACCTCTCGGGGGGCCAGGTGCTTAAGAAGGTGGCCCAGAGGGCTCTGAAACTCCCCAGCACAGGGGAGGGGACCCAATTTTACCTGTTTGAGAATGTGGACAACGCACAACAGTTCAAACAGTTCTACCGGGCCAGGATGAATGCCCTGGACCTGAACCTGAAAACCAAAGAGAAGATTGTGGAGGAGGCCAACAGGGCCTTCGAGTACAACATGCAGGTACTGCTTGGGGCCGGGTGGAAAGGGGCCTCTGATGGTGTGAGCTGATCAGAACTGCCCAAACGGACACTGGTGCATTAGGACAAATGCTCTGCGGCCAGCCCGAGAGAAATTTGAGGGACCAAATAAGCCACAGAGGGCATGAGTCCAGTGATAGCTCTGCTTTACTTGATAGACCACCTCTGTGTTTTGTTTTTGGGAAGGGTGAGGCCTCACCATGATGTGAGCTTGGGGAGAATGGAGTTGTCTCCCTCCCTCTCACCACAGGATTCTGGTTTTGAGGAATGGAGTTCTTCCTTTTTAGCATGGATTGCTATGAAAAGTCTTGCTTGGTGAGTTCAGGGAGAGAACAAAGGAGAGCAAGGAGCATAACTCAGTTTACAGGTACCCTTTAGATGGGGCTGAGGCTGAGGAGGCTGATTCTGTCCCCAGAATCCAGGCACCAGTCAAGTGGCCCTGGAGGGAAGTGAAGCATCAGCCTAACCACAGGCCTGTCAGCCCTCTAACCTGACATCAGGGGCCTCCAGGGTCTACTCAGGATGGGTCAGCCCTGCTAGGGCCTTATTCTTCCATATTCCTTTTCCTATTGCTTCTTGCTAAAAATACCCAGCAGCTGGAAGTGGGGAAGTACCATGGCTCAAACAGTGTTTTTTTACTCTCATGTCTGTACCTTGGATAGTTTCAGTCATGGACTGTGTGTGGTTAGTGCCCGGGGAAGATCCACCATGGTCAGCAGCCATAGGCTGCTGGACAGCACAGGTACCACCATACTTCCCAGAGCTCGTGCCAGGAGAAGTGCCAGGTCAGTGTCCCCGAGTGCAGCTGCAGTTTTGCTGGTTTGCACCCCTGAGCAAACCTTACCTGCTCCAGCTCCCTCTGTGCAGAAGAAAGAGGTTTTTCTCTGAAAGCAGAGTTAAGCAGTCCAGTGATGGTGTTGCTCCTCTGCTCCTTCAGGTATTCAATGAACTGGACCAGGCTGGCTCCTTGCTGGCCAAAGAGATCGTGGAGGATGGGCTCCCCGTGCACAATGGGAAAGGAGATGTGCGTAAATGCCCCTATTACACTGCTAACCAAGACAAAGGTAGGTCTTGTATATCCCAAGCTCTCCTCCTAGGGCAGGTGTGTCAGCATTCCCACTGATGCCATGTCCCTGTTGGTGCTGCCACACAGGTGCCCTGGAGGGTAGAAGTTGTCCCGTTGGAACAGCCATAGCTGTGCTGAGCAAGCCCAGCCTCCAGTTCATTCTGGCCGCCAGTGTGGCTCTGGCTGCTGGCCTCTTGGCCTGGTACTACATGTGAAAGACCCATCACCACATTGGCGCCCTCCTCCTGAGTGACTGCTGGCCTGCTCCCACCTCTACCTGTGACAAAACCACCACCCCAGGTGACTTTTTAAAAATGCTGGGTTTGAGAAAAGCAACCAATAAAAGCCAGACACTAAAGCCTCTGCCTGTTAGTGTCCTCTGCTGACAGATGCTGAGCTGAGTAGAGGCCCACCCTTCCTGCAGCCGCCCAGGCTGTAGCACTGGGAACAGCCAGTGCAGCTCAGTGACCGGCCTGGGCCTCTGGAACCAGCTCTGCTCCTGGGCACCCACACCTCTCACCCTGAGGTTTTTCTCCTTTTGTTCTTCTGCTGTGTCATCATTTAGGTGGGTATCTTTCCCCTGCTGGGAGCGGAGCAGCCAGCCAGGCCAAGGCGAGGTGCTGTAGCCCTGTGGGAGGAAGGGACTCCCCGGATGCTCCTGCTCTACTGGGGGGCTCACCTGGGCATGTGGTGAGCAGAGAGAAGCCAGGCTTGCCTGGGCAGCCAGTCCTTATCTGTCTCTAGCAGAAACCCCCAAGTGGGGTGCGTCCAGCCATGGCCTATCTCCTCCTGACCTGTGTCATGCTACAGCACTCAATAAAGTGGACTCTTGACAGCTGCCTCCTTCCTGGCACAGATGTCATCCTCGCTGGTCTCTGACAGCCTCCTCCTGCTGTGCTCCAAGACTGCTAGTTACCTTATAAATAAGCATAAAAAACCATGTACTTGTATTGAATAATTGATTGTCTAAAATAGAAATGTGAACTTAAATATTTTTATTAATAGGCATCTATTGTTTTATATAATTGAGGATCTGAACATTTTATTCACAAAAGGGTTAAATGATGGGGAAACTTTTTTTTAAACTACTGACCAAGCCTACCTACCCCTACAATTCAGATGAGGGTAGGGGCAGAGCTGGCCCAGAACTTGGGGGCCCAAACTATTTTCCCCCCCGCCCCCCGAAGCCTTAGCCCAGTGTCTCTGTCTTGCTTAAGGGAGTGAAGCTACCTGCTTCCAGAGTAGGATGACCCTGAGCTTCATTTGGAGGGTTCCAGCCTATAGATCCCATGGTGGATGCTGTGATGTGGAGATGGGTAAAACCAGTATCAGATAGTAAGATAGTCAACACATGCCCTGGCCCAGTCATAGCTGGAATGCCAGGGCTCCTCCACACAAACTCTGGCTTGTTTTAAATTTAATTAGGTACTTAAATGTTAGTGTCATTCCTGGCAGTCGGTATAGCATAAGCACTGAGAGACCCTGAAGACTTGACCCCCTGCCCTTAAGACTACCTGTAGCCCCACCCTCTTCCCCTTGCAAAAGAAGGAAGCCAGGCAAGAGAGCAGAGGCCCAGGTCAGGGGAGTGAACGGACCAATTTAATGAGAAACTACAAACAGACTGGTCACAATTCACAGTGAGAGAAGGCCATGCAGTGGCAGTGTGAGACCAGGAGAGGGGTGGCAGCAGGGTACAGCAGTCCACAGGTGCAAGTTCACCGACAAACCATTCAGAAAAGAAAGACAGCATGGCCTCAGGCCCAGGGTAGGGCTAGTCCACCAGGGTACTTCCGCCACTTGTGGTTGCTCCTTCCTGGTCCCCAATCCAGTGCTACAGTTGTTCCTGCTATAGTGCCTGGAGCAAGCACAGTGACAGTGAGTCAACCTGGGTGAAGCACCCAGCGTTCATTAGAGAGAAGATCTACAGAGAGCACTGTAAATCCTGAGTGTCCCTGCAGGGAGGGGCCTATCTGCCATCTCTGGTCCCAGCTGGGATACATCAGCCTCCAGGCAAAGTTCATGCCCACACACAGCAAGGACATGTTTTGGACAGAGGGGCTGGGGTCCTGGGGATTCCTTCTGGCCCCAGTAAAGACATGTTCACAGAAGCATGTGGAAGGGGAGCTAGGCAGGGGCCAGAGGCAAGTCTCTTGGTGAGCCAGGGCCAAATCACTTATCCCATGAATAGCAGTTGTGCTGACTCTCTCTTAATTCCATGTGGCTCCTGGGCACCTGGACAAGGTGTTGAGTTCCTGAGAGTTCTGAGGGTGGGAGTCATTCCTTCTGACAGTCATGTTACCTCTGGCACCCCAGAAACCCTGGCCTAGGACTCCGTCCTGTTTGGGTTCACGTCCCCACTCTTGGCCCAGCAGATTAGAAACTGTGGCTACAGGCACAGCCCCACTGTAGGCCCAGGTCTGGAAAACTAGCCATTGCTCTGGCTGCTTTTGGCCCCACGAGAATAAGGACCAAACTTATACCTCATATAAAAACAGAGGAGTGAGACCCCAGTAGAGACCTTTCCCAGTGTATCTTCCTAATCAAACACCAAGCAAACCAGCAACATACATGCTCAGTGCCAGCTCCCTGCCACTTGCTGACCCTTGGCCTTAAATCCAACAATTTTGCCGGAGGTCAGATGCTCAGGGAAGGGCAAGGCAAAGAAGACAGGAGTTCCAGGGGCCTGGTGGAACACCTTCCACCCCCAAGCGGGAGTGGGGACAGAGCCACTGAGTGTAGGGAGCAAAGCACAGGAGTCCAGACTGACAGCGGGGAGTCCAGTCCAGGCTCCGTTAGCACAGGCGCTTGTACGTGTAGATGTAGGCTTTGCAACTGGGGCACGTGTGCGTCACATCCTTGAAGTCATTGATGAGGCAGGGGATCAAGCAGCAGCCCAGATCACACCTGAATCAGAGAAGGGGAGGCCTGAAGAGAATGTGCCGAGAGCACTGGGCATACTCCAGCTGGGTAATGGACAAGTGCAGCCCCCACCCTTCAAGCACCCATACCACCTACCCCATGAAGCAGCAAAAGAAGCCCAGCACGAAGTTCATCAGGCCAATCTCGTAGGAGATCTTGGTGGTGATGGCCTGCTGGCAGTGGGGACACACTGTCTGCACAGGTGCACCCTCAAAGATCTCTCCCTGCAGCACTGTCACCGTAGTGGCAGCCCCTGAAGGGACCAGGACTGTGGCTGTGTGTCCGCCAGGACCAGGGTAGGGCCCTGGTGGGTAGGGCCCTGGCGGGTAATAGCCCATGGGTGGATGGGGACCAGGAGGAGGGTAGAAACCTGGAATGGCACAGAAGACAGAGCAGACGAGTCACTGGCTTGTCACCCCACTGTGCTCACGTGAGAGTTAAGTATAAAGTCCCCAGCACCCAGGGCGCAGTTGAGGGACCAGTCCTAGACCTTCCTTGTCCCTGCCCCATGGGGACCAAAACAGAAGATACCTGACCCAGCCAGACAAGACAGCTGAGAACAAGGCCCACTCTACCTGCAGCTCAATGCACTGGCTCCCTGCCTCTGACACATGGGACTGGGCACTGTGCTCAAGGACCTCAACCACAGGAAGGAAAGCCCCGCTGCTCCTCAGCCCCTCTTATGCAAACAGGGCTCCTTCCCCACCAGTGTTAGGTCCTGCACTGCAGTGCCATCTGGTCCACTTGACTTGGGGACACCTGTTCAGGAACCGTGGGTCCTTCTCTGGCTTGAGTAGTCCCTCTGAAGAGTGCCGGGTGAGCAGGAGACCAGGCCTCCACCATGGACTCGAGTGTCTGGCAGGGAGTGGCCCCTGTAGCACCCATGATTCCATAGCACCTGCCACTGCCTGAGGAGCCTTCCCACGAGTCAACCCTCCTGGCAGCCCCGGGCTCCTCTGGCACGTCCACAGTGCCTTCACAGCGGGGCCTGGCTCTGTGACACCTTCCCATTTCTACCCTCCATGCCCACAATCAGTCCCCCTGCTCCAACCAGCAGTAAACACCCTCACACAACACCAGCCTGCTGGGCTGGGCAGACACCTGCGCTCCGCTGGGATCTCTTCCCAACTTACCCGGAGGCATGTAGGCTCCATCTGCATTCACATGTGGAGGGATGAAGCCAGGCTGGGGCAGTGGGTGACCAGGTGGCTCATAAGGTGGGGGGCCAATGTCTGCAGGAGGCAGTGACATGCCTGCCGAGGGCTGCATCACAGCAGGGGAGGTTTGGCCTGGACAGGAGGGAAAAGAAATGCAGAGGGCCCCAGCCCCACTGTCAGTGGGAGGGGCTGCTCCAGGCACAACTTCAGCAGCTGGAATGGGCAAGGGAAAGAGCACTGAACCCTACCTGGGGTTGGCAGGGCTCCACTTTTCTCCTCCAGGAGGGGGGCTGTGGGGCCTCCAGGATAAGGAGGGGGCGGGTCATTAGACATCTTCGAGGCTTCTCCTGAACCTGGAGGGAAAACTCAGACGTGAACTATGCTCCCAGCCCCCCTATTGCCAGTCAGGTACTGACGCATCAAGGGGCTGCTGCACAAGGTGTGTGACGGTCCTCAGAGAGCCACCCTCGTTGCTGAGCCCAAGCACACGGGGCCTCCTGTGGCTCCTACTGCAGGTGTCCCCTGCTTTTGGGGCTCTGGCCACCTTTTAATCGCATATAAATCTCCACACTGGGCAGAGCAGGGCTGATGGGCTGGGACTGATTTTCTTGAGGAGAGTAGTCACCAGGATCCCTAGATCCTGAAGATGCCCCACATTGCCAGGGGTGACCAGCCCAGAGCCTCCATCCTCCACATCTCAAGAAGCTACTAACCTCAGTGGTCACTTGCACTTCCTGTGTGAAAGCCCGAGGATGAGGGAAGCCAGGCGAGGAGGACAGAAGCTGGTGAGGTGAGCCCCCCAACCCACATGGGGAACATAATCTAGGGCTCCCCAGTGCAGCTTGGGCACTGGTCCTCTTCTCCCCTAACATTCAAGGAGTGCTGTGCCCACCTCCGTGCCAGGGCACTGTGTCCTTGTGGGAGGGGATCTGGGAAACTTTACCTCAAATCCTAGGTACTCAGAGTTGGTAGACAGGTGAGGCTCCTTCCAGTGGGTGGACACGCAGGACTGTGGGGAGCTGTTTCATGGGGAGAACAAGCAGCTCCCTTAGCACCAGGGCTGGGCCGGACCTGGGCAACTGGCCTCCTCGAAGCCACACTCCCTCCCTCATTCATCTGGTCTCTCCCACCCCCCTGCTGCCCAGCACAGTACCTTCCCTCAGACCTACCCACTCCTCAGATCCCCCTTCCCCTTCTCACAGCTGTTCTCTCCCAGGGGCCATGGCTGGTCCCCTGCATCTCTCCCCACCAGGCCCAGACCAGCGCCCCAGCATCGGCTCTCAGAGCCAGCTGTGTCCTTCTTTGTTGGGTGGAATAGGGTGGGAAGGAAGATGGTGTCAGTTAAGTGAAACACTTTCCCTCATTTCCTTCACAAGGTTCATTGAGCAACTGTTTAGATTCTGAACAAAGATCCAGTGAAGGCAACTCCCCTCATGTATGTGGCTGCCTCCTAGAGCCCACCAGGTTCAGTTCAGAACCATATAGTGATGGAGGCCCCAAGCAATCCTGCCAGGGGAGAGGGGTCCGGGAGTCACGAGGCTTAAATATTAAACCTAATGAATCAGTGTCAGGGCCAGAGGGACTAAATCCAAGCAACAAAAAAACAAAGATAAATTAAATTTCATTAAAATTAAAAACTGCTTCAAAGGACACCATAAAAAAAATGGAATGAAGTACTGACACACACTACAATATGGATGAACCTTGAAAACATGCTCAGTGGCCTGGCCAGTGTGGCTGAATGTCGACCTATGAACCAGGTCACAGTTCGATTCCCAGTCAGGGCACATACAAGCCCAGGCTGTGGGTTCGGTCCCCAGTAGGGGGCGTGCAGGAGGCAGCCGATCAATGATTCTCTCTCATCATTGATATTTCTATCTCCTCCCTTCCTCTCAGAAATCAACAAAAAAATATATTTTTAATAGAAGGACCACGTATTTTATGGTTCCTTATATAAAACATACAGAACAGGCAAATCCAGAGGCTGGGAGGGTGGATGGGCAGAGAGAATGGCAAGTGTGGGGTTTCCTTTTGGGGTGATGAAAGAAAATGTTCTAAAACGGACTATGATGGTTGTACAATTCTGTGACTATACAAAAACCACTGAATTATGTACATACTTTAAATGGAGAAACTGTATAGTATGTGGTTATATGTCAGTAAAACATTTAAAAACTGAAAGAAAATAAAATTGTCCAATTTTATCATCCTAATGCAGCCAGTCTCTCTGCATGTTTCTGTTAGTCTGTAAGCACAGGCACCTATATTTTTATATAGTGGCTATCATGACAGTTTTAAAACATTTTAATGTCATATTTTTCCTCCATCTTACAAGACCCCATGACTATCAATTTTAATATTCCCTAAAATAGGCCCCTCACTGTTTACTTGACCGACCCCTGAGACATTTAGAATGCTACTTATTACTTTCATTAAAAGAAAACAACAGGGAATACCTTTGGCCAATGTTCTTTTCATTTCTTGGATTATTTCCTTGAGCTACACTTGTCAGAAGTGAGATTAGGTCAAAGGGTATCAACATGTTACGCCTTTAGTGAAGGATGATGCTGACAGTGCAAACTTTGGATACTGCTATCAATTTGTAATGTTAAGATGACATTTGGTGACATCAAAATTACAACAAAAATACAGAACCACCATCAGCCTGAAATGTGATTGAATAGAAGTCCTACAACTAGAGAATTAAAGAAGCAAACAGCCCTAGCCGGTTGTTTGGCTCGGTGGATAGAGCACCGGCCCACGGACTGAAGGGTCCTGGGTTCGATTCTGGTCAAGGGCACGTACTTCGGTTGCAGGCTCAACCCCTGGCTCCGGTCAGGGTGTGTGTGTGTGGCAACCAATCGATGCACATCGATCGATGTTTCTTTTTTTTTTTTTTAAATATATTTTATTGATTTTTTACAGAGAGGAAGGGAGAGAGATAGAGAGTTAGAAACATCGATGACAGAGAAACATGGATCAGCTGCCTCCTGCACATCTCTCACTGGGGGTGTGCCCGCAACCCAGGTACATGCCCTTGACTGGAATCGAACCTAGGACCCTTCAGTCCGCAGGCCGACACTCTATCCACTGAGCCAAACCGGTTTCGGCCACATCGATGTTTCTTTTTCTCTCTATCTCTCCCCCTCCCTTCTACTCTCTCTAAAAACCAATGGAAAAATATCCTCAGGTGAGAATTAACCAAAAAAAGGAGGGGGAGGGGGAGGAGGAGAAAGCACATTGAGACTGGTAGGAGGGGTGGAGGCATAGAACAGGCTGGTCTGACACCCACGTGGATTTTTTTTTTCTTTTCTTTTTTTAATCCTCACCTGAAGATATTTTTTTCCATTGATCTTTAGAGAGAGAGTGGAAGGGAGGGAGGAAAGGGGGGTAGGAGGGAGGGAGGGAGAAACAGAGAGAGAGAGAGAAACAGAAACTTCTATGTAAGAGACATTGATTGGCTGCCTCCCGTATATGCCCCGACTGGGCAGGGGATCGAACCTGCAACCGAGGTACATGTCCTTGTCCAGGAATCGAACCCATGACCCTTGGGCCGAGGACTGATGATCTAACTACTGAACAAAACTGGCCAGGGCCATGTGTGTGGGGGTTTTTTTTGTTTGTTTTTTTTAATCTCAGCTGCAGAGATATCCCGTGAGGAGCAAGGGGTCCCAGCCCTACACCAAACCCTTTAGGCCAGGGCTCCAGATTCGGAAAGAGAAGCCCCGCCCCGTAACTTCGGCTATAAAAACCAGTGGGATTGTGTCTGAGTGACACGAAGGCTGCTGGAGACCCAAAAAGTTCCTCTTAAATGGCCAGTGCATGGACTTACTCAAACTCCTCACTCTAAGCTCCAGCGCTGGGACAGCGGCTTGGGGTGGGGGGGTGGGGGGGTGGAGAGAGACACAGGTACATACAGGGAGGAACTGGATTGTCTGGCATTGGGGCAAGAACTGGGGGGTGGCTTTCTTCCAGACAGAGGTGCTAGCAGGGGTCATTGTTCCTATGCTGAGACCTCCTCTGTTGCAGGGCTAACTGGCAGGCACCACATCTGAGTCTCCATCAGCCTGGCCTACACTGTTCACTCTGTCCTGGGGATTCCCTGAGACCCTGCCCCACCAAATCTGTAGCCCCACCCAAGCTGTTTGGAGAGGCTTTTCCAAACGAATGGCCTGACTCAGGCTTCAGACTAAGATCTCTTAACCATTTGTACGCCATAAGCATCAAAAGACACAAGCGGCGGACATTTTGAAATTAAATTCAAAATATCGTGGCGTGTGGGGATGGTTTCCAGTTAACTGGTTAACAAGCAGCAGCTGGTGTCAGTGTAGCTCCTGCCTGGGGTTTCTCAATAAGAGATCCCAGGCCCGGCAGTAACAGCCTATCTGTAGATTGCTCTGTAGCTCCTGCCCGGTGGCCCCAGGCAGTGGCTGACTTTGCACCTCCCGGGAGGCCCAGAGCCAGTGCACCCGGTGGACAGCTTCACACCATACAAGATTACAACTCTACACATCACAAGCGACACCCTGAAAAGGCAGACTCAATGAGCACCAAAGCCCCATTAAGACAAGTCCTGCTCCATAGTGTCAGCTCCTGCACAGCAGCTCTCCCACTGTAGTCACAGCTGGTCCTTCCTCACAGCCAACTAGCCTGGGGATCAATTCCTCCCAGTGATGCCAACAATCAAGTACAACAAAACTGCGCACACAGCCCACAAAGGGGCACACCTAGAGTGCCCAGCTCAGGTGACTGGGGAGGCTGAGCCACTGGGCCCTACAGGACACCTATTATACAAGGCCACTCTGCCAATTCCAGGAGACATAGCAGCTCTACCTAATACATAGAAACAAACAGGGAAGCAGCCAAAATGCGGAGACACAGAAACGTCACAAATGAAAAAACAAAAGAAACTCCAGAAAAAGAACTAAATGAAATGGAGGCAAACAAACTACTAGATATAGAGTTCAAAACAATAGTTATAAGGATGCTCAAGGATCTTAATGAGAGTTTCAAGGGACTTCGTGAGATTTTTCAAGGATCTTAGTGAAAACAAAGACATGAAAAAGGACCAGAAAGAAATTAGGCATACACTAACTGAAATAAGGAATAATTTATAGGGAATCAACAGTAGAGTAGAGGATGCTGAAAATCAAATCAGTGATTTGGAATATGAGGAAGCAAAAAACCCAATCAGAAGAGCAGAAAGAAAAAAAATAATCCAAAAATATGAAGATAGTATAAGGAGCCTCTGGGACAACTTCAAGCGCACCAACATTTGTATCATGGGGGTGCCAGAAGGAGAGAGAGAGCAAGATATTAAAAACATATCTGAAGAAATAATAACAGAAAACTTCCCCTACCCAGTGAAAGAAATAGACTTATAAAAGTCCAGGAAGTGCAAAGAGTCCCAAACAAGAGGAACCTGAAGAGGCCCAAAGACACATAATAATTAAAATGCTAAAGGTAAAGATAAAGAGAGAATCTTAAAAGCAGCAAGAGAAAAGCAGTTAGTTACCTACAAGGGAGTACCCATACGACTGTCAGCTGATATCTCAAGAGAAACTTTGCAGACCAGAAGGGTGTGGCAAGAAATATTCGAAGTGATGAATAGCAAGGATCTATAACCAAGATTATTCTACCCAGCAAAGCTATCATTTAGAATTGAAGGTCAATTAAAGAGCTTCACTGACAAGAAAAAGCTAAAGGAGTTCATCACCAGTATTACATGATTAGTACAAGGGCATTCTTTCTCTCTCTCCCTCCCTCGCGCTCTCTCTCTCTCTCTATCTCTCTCTTTAATATATAGTTATTGATTTCAGAGAGGAAGGGAGAGGGAGAGAGATAGAAACATCAATGATGATGGAGAATCATTGATTGGCTGCCTCCTGCAAACCCCCGACTGGAGATCGAGCTGCAACCCGGGCATGTGCCCTTGACTGGAATCAAACCTGCGACCTTTCAGTGGGAGAAGGAGGAGGAGGAGGAGGAGGGAGAGGGGGGAGGAGGAGGGAGAGGGGGA